GCAAAGTGATTCAGAATATATATATATATATATATATACACACATATATATATATTCTCTTTTAGATTCTTTTCCATTAGAGGTTATTGTAAGATACTAAATATAGTTCCCTGTGCCATACAGTAGATCCCTGTTGTCTGTTTTATATATGGTAGTGTGTATATGTTAATCCCAAACTCCTAATTTATCCCTTTCCCCCTTTCCCCTTTGGTAACCGTAAGTTTGTTTTCTATGTCTGTGAGACCATTTCTGTTTTGTAAATAAGTTCCTTTGCGTCATGTTGTATCCTAGGTTCCATCCAGATTAATTTCCCAGGGTCAGATATTTAACAAATGGCAGAGCTGAGACTCAAATCCAGTCTGATACAAAAATGAGAGCTTTTTCTTTTTTTAAAATTTATTTATTTTTGGCTGCATTGGGTCTTTGTCGCTACTCCGGGGCTTTCTCTAGTTGAGGTCAGTGGGGGCTACTCTTTGTTGTGGTGCGCAGGCTTCTCATTGTGGTGGCTTCTCTTGTTGCAGAGCACAGGCTCTAGGGCACGCGGGCTTCAGTAGTTGTGGCACACAGGCTCAGTAGTTGTGGCTCATGGGCTCTAGAGCACAGGCTCAGTAGCTGGGGCACATGGGCTTAGTTGCTCTGCGGCATGTGGGATCTTCCCAGACCAGGGCTCGAACCCTTGTCTCCTGCATTGGCAGGCGGATTCTTAACCCCTGAGCCACCAGGGAAGTCCCAAAAATCAGTGTTCTTAATCACTATTCTGTACTACTTACAACATGCTCTGAAATATATCAAACTCTTTATATTGGTACATTTTCCTTTCCTAAAAAGTAAGCAGAGTTTTATAGTAATGCCTGATCAGAAGAAACCAGTGTGGTCTTCAGGTAGAAATAAGCTTATATAATTTTGAAATGTCTTTCAACCAGCAATAATATTGATTTTTTAACAGAAAAAAAGTTATATCTGTATTATTTAAGATGTTTTTTAAAGCTTATTAGGGTGAAATTGTTTTATTTCTAAGAGAAAAATAACTTATTGGTAGTACGTGTACCAAGACCCTATGTATCAGGCCTTTGTTAATGCTGATTATTTTAAGAGAACACTGACCTTTTTTTAAGTGCTGAAACATATAAGGAATCATTCGGTTTAGAAAAAGGATAATAGTAGTAATCTAAGCAAGATACTTTCTTCACATGATGCAGCTACTCAGTTTTTTAGTTTTTCTTTTTGACAGTAACTGTAATAATTTTACCCAGTTGCATTATCTTTTGTCCATATTATCTTTTGTTATGCAAGAGGAATTTTTTCTTTTGTTTAGTGATTTAAAAAAATTTAAATTTATAAAGAACTGGATAAAAAGAAGATGGTCGTTTGGTGGTAATCACTTGTGACTTCCTTTACATGAATGTCTTTGAGTTTTCTATTTTCCTTAAACAAAACAAGATATATATATAGAGCCATCTCAGATTATCATAATTTGGAGAAATGTTTATAGCAACGCAGTTGAATTGTCTCTTCAATAGATGATACGGTGTGTTTTTTTAATTCTATTTGTGGCATGAGGAACGTTAAATAGAAACATCTCCGTATGTGAGACAGTAGTTTTAAATGGAAAACTTCAAGATCTAATTATGAAAATATGTGATTAAGCTACGATTGTTTGACAAGTCAAAATGAATTGTTGCCATAGGATAGTTTTAATTTTTTTTAAGCAATATTAAGGTTAGCAGGAAATTGCTTGAGGAAAGGTTGTTCGTTGGCAACCTTCCCCAACTCCCTTCAACAGCTCCTTTTGCCATTCCCTATTACGGAAAGTTGCCCTTATATAAAGAGAAATTCTCTTTTAAAAAATGACTATGTTACAGTTAAGGACTGCTTATTTCAGAAAAAATCAAGCAGGAAGGCCTGGTCCATCACTAGCAAACAGTCTCCAAAGCCAGTCCAACATTTTAATTTGCTGATGGCATGGATTCCTTGACATGTTGAATAGCAGGTGTTCCAAGCCTTAACCCCTCTTAAGGCAAAACTTTCTAACTAATATTGACTTCATTTTTGGCATTCCACTGGAGGTGAAGTATAGCAGCTGTTTAAAGAATGTGTGTGTAAATGTGTATATATGTGTTTGGAAACAAAGAGCCACACTGAAATTACAAAGTGAATAAAATAGAATTTAGAAACCCAAATTGGAATTTGGCTGAATTCATGAGGGAGTACGATTCTCCCTGCACTTTGACAATGCACCCTTTACCAAGGTGCAGATGCTCGCAGTTGGCCGATGATGCATAGATCCACCACGTGAGAAACAGAGGAAAGAATATTATCCCAAATGTATACATAGTGTTAAATAAAAACTACTAAGGTAAGAAGGTCAGTGCTTTACATAGATAGTAAACTATGCATATTATTTTATTTGTGACCCCCCATGTGTTAAGATGGGACACTATTAAAGCAACAATCACTTAAAAAGCAATAACCAACAAACCAGTATTTAATGTGGTACTTAAAATTAATAATTAAAACCAAATGGAAGCAATGCCTAAAGTAACTAAGATAATTCACAATAAAAACCATTAGTGCAGGCTCTACTTATTGTAAATGTGATAATTCAACATAGGCTAACCTAAAATGTACCTTTAGAGATAGAATAAGGATATAAGCAAAATATTAAATAAGATTTCAGGAAGCCCCTAAAATTATTTTTAAGAACTTCAGAACTGATTATATGCAAAAAAATATTAACTATAAGTTTAAGTTCATTCATACATGACCTTATTTGAAGCAGTGTATTTTCATTCACTAGCAAAATTCATGTCAGTAAGATATTTTTGAAGTATTTTATTTTCCAGAGAATTCACTACTTTGAACTAGTTGTTCCAGTGATTAGCCTGAATTTCAATGGAAACCTAAGTCTTAACTGAAGACATGCTTCTGAAAATAAGGCAACTTTTCTACAATCTGTTTATGAACAGAAAAAAAAATCTTTGGTTTTAGTTAAACTAGCAGGAAGGATTTTGCAAAAAAGAAATACTAAAGAACCAAAGCAACGAAAAGGCTCTTAATAAGCAATGGGAAACTCCAAACCCCATCAAGGTCAATAGAGTACCTAAGGCACCTCAGGTTCAGATGATACAATCATCTTTGCTTAGAGTTCTAATCATCTATATACAGGATTTTTACCATCTTAAGAACATGAAGCCGAAAAGGTAATGTCCAACAATGATTATTGTAAGAAAGAAGAAAATCCTAAGAGCTGATAAATGGGAGAGATTAGAGATCATCTCCTCTACGTCCCAGATGAGGAAAATGAGGCCCAGTCAAGAAACAGAGGTGACACCAGAGTCCTAGTCCATTTCTCTTAGGGCAGGACAAATGCTAGATTTTAACTTTATTGGCTAGGAAACCAAGTGTGAAGAGTTTCAGAGATGTGAATTTGAGGAAGAAAAAAAAAAAAATTCCCATCAAATCCCCAAAGGCAAGTTGGAAATAAATGTATAATACTTTACTGTCTTAATTCCTTTATACCATGTGTTGGACAACTTAGCTCATATACTAATTGAGTTATACAGTTCTTTTCAATTCTATCTAAAAATAGCAGACCAAAATTAAATGAGAAAGTTACATCAGATTCCATTTGAGCATACATAAGGCCATGGTACTTAATGCGAACCACCACTTCTTGGGAGAAAGAAGACATCCACTGTCCAGTTCAGGAGAGAAAGCTCCTGACCAGTTATCCAGTAGACTCTCCGCACGTCAATGGGGAAGATGATGCTTATATTTTTAAAAAAATCTCTACAAAGCTCACACACAAGACAGTACATCCTAGATTTGTGACTGCTATGAGCATTTAAGGCTGTCATTTTCAAGTATCAAAGTTTAGTGTTCCATTACCCAATCTGTGCAATAGACATAGCTATAAGCTCACGTCATGGAAATTAACAGAAGCTCACCAAAGACATAAAGAAATCATAATTTAGGCAACAGCATTTTTAAATGTAGGAAAGGCTGGGAAAAATTTTATGGATTAGATTATGCTTCTCTGAACTGCATTAGTTTGTTCACACTGACTGAAACTTTGTCTAACACTATTGTCTGTTGCATGGCATCTGGAATAAGGTAGATCAACAGCAGACCAAACGAGACAGCTTAATTAGGTAACAGAACTAGTCATTAAGATGGTTCACCTCTACCACAGTTATACAGTCTGTTTCCCTAGAGAAAGATTAGAAATGGCTCCAGTATACCAGATAAGCTTCATAGATAAACATGAGAAAATTTTTTTAAAGCAGGACCTTTCAAAACCTAGGGACTACCATGCACTGCTCGAGGATGAAATAAGTCAACGTTATTTACTTCTGGCTTGACGTAATATTGTGAAATGTAATATGGCTGGAGAAAATGGGTATTTGGAAGCCAGTATGTCATTTAACTTATACTCTAGGTGTGTACGTAAGCTGTGGTTCTGTAACTTCTACTGTGGTTCCAATATCTATATCTGAAAGGTGAAATCAGTTTTATTATGAAAGCAGTTGCTTTGTTATAAATTCCATGTAACATGCTTGAATTCTAGGTCTTTTCAACACAATTTAAAGTTTCTTGTGGTTTGGTCAGCATACACCCTTTTCGTTTCATTTGATATACAAGCCAATGTGGAAATTAGAAAAACAAAACTACCAACTAGTTCAGAGAGCTAAATTGAGTCCAGGATTATGGCAAAGTCTGACCCAAAGTTTTAATTTGTAATTTCAGCATGTAACTCATGCAGTTTGGGGAGCATCAAACTGAATCTACAATCGCCAGAAACCTTTGTTACAGTTGGATGCACATTAACTAAAACGTGTACATTTTTAGTGTTCATGATAAATGCAGATATGACCTTGTTACACTTTTGGCATTCTTTGAGAAAGCACATTAAGCTTTAATATAGAAATATTTAGGTTACACTTGTGCTCAAGTAATAATAAAACATTTGTTCTTTTCGATCTCATACATTCTCTCCTCAGGAATGGCCCATCTCCTGCACGCTTGGAGCGACCTTTGGCTACGTGGCTGGCCTTGTTACTTCACCACTCTGGATATACTGGAATAGAAAGAAACTTACATACAAGAACAATTAATTGGAGCAAAGGGAGAAGATATTTCTTTGTGCAGATTCCATAAAGACTGTGCAGACATGTATATGGTCTAAGCCAGGCAGTTCCACTTAACAGCACTGTTTTTTATATAGTTACAACATGATGTGATTGTAGCTTTTTAAACTATGAAACCCCTGAGAGATTGTACCTTCTAGTTGAAATAAAGTATTTATAATAGATTGTGGCTTCAGATGCTGTTTGTTGCTTCTTGGACCTTTAAGAAACATTCTTAATCAACTTTATAGAATTCTGAGGACAGGGTTTTTTTTTTTCCTTTCAAGTTTTAAACTGCTTCATTATTTTTAAGAGGTCTGGGTATAGCTTTAGCATTTCATATGCTTTCTGAGAGAAATGGACAGTTTACTTGGCCACTGAAGACGTTTCTCACGTAATTAAACAACAGTTTATACATCTTGATCCTATTCTTTTTTTTACTGTGTGTTTCTTTGGAGTTAAAATGGCTATGATAGCCTCATCAAAAACAGTCTTCAATCCCTTCTGGGTTAAAGCTGAACATTCTACATAGCAGCACGCACCTATCTGGGAGGGAGAAAAAAAAATCACAAATATATACAGTCTTTTTTACAACAACTGATACCACACAAATACACCATTATAAGGAAAATCATAAAATGCAAAAAGAATGAAATCATCCATATTTATGATACCCAGAGATAGCTAACTGTTAAAATACTAGTGTATATTCTTCCAGACTTTCTCTATGGAAAATTCTTTCATTCATCAAATATTTACTGGGTACCTACTATATGCCAGGCTCTGCTGGGGATCATGTCAATGAACTGAGCAAAACAGCAAAGTCTCTGCTGTGTGATGCTTACGTTTGCTTAAGTTCTACTGGGGGAGGAACACACAGAGGAATATAGAGCAGATGGTGGCACATGCTACAGGTTAAAAAAAAACAAGCAGAGTGAGGGAGGGAAAGGGTGCAGAGGACAATGGTGGTGGTCGGAGAAAGCTGCTCACCAAGGTAAAGTCTGAGCACTGAAGGATACCTAGGGGAAGAGTTTCCAGGCAGACAGAGCCACAGAGGTAAAGACCTTGGTGCAGGAGCATGCACGGAGCATTCAGGGGGTGGGAAAGAAGAGGGTGAGCAGGGGTAATGGCAAGAGAGGCAGTCAGTGAGGCAGCCTTGAGGTAGCGACCTCGAGTAAGGACTTTGGCTTCTACTGTGAGAGGGGACCCACCCATCCATCCATCCATCTATTCGTTCGTTCATTGAAAACTTACAGAGCACTTTCATTTGCCAAATGTGAGAATAGAGCAAGGAACAAAATTAAGTCCCTAAGCTATTCTCATGAAGCTTATATTTTAGAGGGAGAAGACCGTGGACTAATAAATATAGAGGTAGAATATGTGGTCTGGAGAAAAATGGGGGAGGAGATAGGGAGTGGGGAGAGGTCAGGCAAGGCCTCACTGACAAGAGTGATATCTGAGTGAAAGAATGAACAATGTCTACATCAGGAAGACTATCCCAGGCAGAGGGGGCAGTGAAAGGACAAAGGCTCTGAGGCAGAAGATTAGGGAAACCGCACAGAGGCCGAGTGCCTGGAGCACAATGAGTGAGGCAGAGAAGTAGCGGGGCCTGCACGCCAGGGTGAGGGCTTGGGCCTTTCTTTATTCGGAAGATAATAAAGCCACTGGAAGATTCTGAACAGAGCAGGGAGCTGATGGAGCTTCTATTTTTAAAGTCTCACTCTGGTTGCTGTGTTGAGAACAGGTTAACAGACACAGACAGAAGCAGAAAGGTGAGTGAGAGGCTGTTGTGGTAATCCAGGCCAGAGAGGGAGGGGGCCTGAACCAGGCTGCCAGAGGAGGGGAAAGAGAGGAGCGTTTGGATTCTGGGTATTTTCTGAACGTAGAAAAATATATTTTGCTGGAGGGTTCACTGAATGGTATGAGAGAAAGTGCAAGGTCAAGTGTGACTTCAAGGTTTTTGACCCGAGTAACTGAGAAGATTAAGCCTAGGGGATAAAATTGGGAATTCTGTTTTGGACATGTTAGTTTTGAGATGCTTACCACCCGGATGGACTTGTTGCATGACCAGTTAGATAACCAAGTCTAGAGTTTAGGGAAGAGGTCCAGGCTGCAGATAGAAATTTGGGAATCTCAGCAGCAGACGGTTCAAACCACAAGACGGATAGAAGCTTAACAAGCTTAAAGGCTGAGTGTGGATATAGAAGGAAAGACATCCAGGAAGCTGACTGCGGATCCCTGGACCCTCAACATTCAGAGATGGGGAGATGGAGGAGAGGCCCACGAGCGGGGAGAAAGCCCAAGAGAGGGCGTTCAAGGAAGCCAAGTGAATGTGTTTCAAGGAGGGACCAACTGTGCCAAATGCTGCTGACAGGTCTAGAAATGGTGTTCTGCAACCACTTTTTTTCCCCTTAAACTACATAATAAACATGAACATCTCAGTAAGTAAATTAGTATAAATTTTTAATAGATGCAGGGTTTTTTTTTGCCATTATAAACAATGCAGGAACTTTATGGCTGTCTCTTTAAGCACATCCCGTATAATATTCTTAGGATAAACTCCTCCCTATGAAATTGCTTGATCAAAAGTGTACATGACTTTAAGGCTTTTGCATGTTGTCGAGGCTTTTACTCAAAGACCAACAGAACAACAAAGTACCCATTTGCTTACACCTGGAACGGTGGGTATTCTAACTAACGTCTCTTTTGTGTGCCAATTTTATAGATGGAAATTGAACTTACATTTGACTACTAAGGAATATGAACATATTTTTTATCTTCAATGGCAATCTGCATTTTTTGGAGAATCTCCCATTGATGTTCTGAGTCCCTTTTCCTATTGGGGTATGCGTATGTCTTTTTCTGATTAATCCTTATGCAAGGGGTTCATGTCCACTAAGGATATTAACCCATTTTTCTGCCATAAATGTCAAGTTTGTTATATGACTTTTAATTTTATTTCTGGCATTTGAAGTCATATTAAATTTTTACGTAGTTACATCATCAATGCTTTCATTTATGACTTTTACTTTTATGAAATTTAGAAATTCCTTCTCTCCTAAGATGACAGAACTTAATATGTGAAATTCCTTGCTAGTAACTTGTTAGTGAAGCTATTTATCTTTTGCTTTAGGAAAAACTGTTCTCCAAAAAGTTTTCTTGCTTTCTTCTGCCTCCTGATAGTATTTTTAAAAATACCTTATTATATTCCATTTCCACAAAAGTCCTATTAAAGTCATAACGTCTAAAAAATAGAATCCAACCATGTTAGGGGCAAATGGAGAAAAAAGTAAGCCTCACTTTGGGGAGAGGAAGAATATAAGTTAAAAGGTATTTTGTGCATCACAGTTATATTTTTAAAATGATAATATATTCTACCTTGCATAAAAATTCTCTTGTGGAAGAGAATTCAACAACACATTTCTTCTCCACCATGAGTCTTCACTGACGACAGGGCCTGATTAAGCAGCCCCTATTTGCAACGCCTCTTTGTACACATGACTTACTAGGAAAATACTGTTGGCAGTGTAGCACAGGTTTAGTAAAGGCCAGAGTGAGGCCTTTACCGAAGCCCAGCTCTGCCATTTACTACCTGCCGGACCTTACAAGTTACCTGACAAGGCTGTGCCTCTGTTTTCTCCTCCATAAAACAGAGGTACTAGCAGACCAACCTCACTGAGTCGAGGCAAGGATTAAATGATCTAATGCATGTAAAACAGTCAGCACAGTGCCTGGCATACAGTAAAGCACAATAAATATTAGCTTCTATTATCACTTTAGCTTCATTTACATTTAAATTCTGTAAAGGTTGCATTACCTCTTTTGCTAGTTTCTGTCCTTGTTCCACACATATAGGTTTTTCCTTCATATCATTCAGTCTTGCTAAAGTTTTGGGGTCATCTCGCAGATCAATCTAGTTAAGAAAGGTTAATGATGTCCCATAATATTATCAGTCTTTAAAGATAAAGCAGGTAATCCCATTTAACCCCACGTATCAAAAAAGGATTACAGAAGAACCTAATCTTTAAAACCAACTAATAAAGTAATTGCTTTCTTTGACACTACTTTTCCCAAAAATGTGACAGAATTTATTATAACAACGGAGATTCAACATATTATTATCTCATTTGCGAAACCTTAGGGCCATTTGTCTGAGAGCAACACCACAAGGCAGGCCACAGAGGTTATTCTTAAATGGGTAAAATCAAAGCAGACGTACCTGAGTTCCTATTAATAAAAAGGGTACATTTGGTGCGTATTCCTTAAGTTCTGGTACCCACTCCTCTTTCACATTTTGAAATGAGGCTGGATTTACCACAGAGAAGCAGATAAGGAAGACATCAGTCATTGGATAAGATAAAGGCCTCAGACGATCATAGTCTTCCTAAGGGAGAAAGAAAAACCTCATTATTTCCATTTCTAGAGTTTACTAACAAATATGTACATTAGATTAGATGGTCAAAGAAGCAAAGTCAGGACTAGTCCACAAATGGAATGTATGACATACTACAAAAAAACAACATAATTCCATTTGTCTTTGCTATTCTATTCTAATTGGAAGCTCTGAACACCACTGGGGTAAAATATGACAGTATCATTAACGTCTACAATGAAACTCTGAGAAAATACATTGTGATGACGAGAGTTGTCACTGGAAGCATTTTTAACTGAAAAGTTTGCACACAGAATTGATTGTAGCTAGATGTTTAAGTATAGTCATTTATAATAATATTATCTGAATGTTCACTGTTATTAAACATATGATCCATATGCTCTCTCATGTATTACTTATTTAATCCTTGTAACAACTATATGACATAAGAACCATTATCTCTATGTTGCATTTGTCTAAACTGAGGCAACAGTAATTAACTAACTTGTGTAAGGAAGTATACAGCAAGTAAAGGAGATGGGATTCAAACTCCGGCAGTTTTACTTCAGAACCTATGCCTTAACCACTATACATCTTCACTGAGACCTTAAATCTTTGCTTTCCCTGTTTATATAGTTTTCTTAATTGTGTGTGTGTGTGTGTGTGTGTGTGCGCGCGCGCATATGCATGTTTGTGTAAAAATTTTGTGTGTGTGTGTGTGTGTGTGTAAAAATTTAAAGATAGAAACATACTGAGTAAATTCATGAAATCCCCCTTCCTCTCCAATTTCCATTCCTTTCCTGAAATGTAGAT